TGCTGCTGCAGCTAGCTTGCTGCTGCTGCAGCTAGCTTGCTGCTGCTGCAGCTAGCTTGCTGCTGCTGCAGCTAGCTTGCTGCTAATGTAGCTAGCTGCTGCTGCAGCTGGTTTGCTGCTGCTGCAGCTAACTTGCTGCTCATGCAGCAGGTGTCTCCTTCTGCATTTGTGTTCCTCTCATTCGTAGCAGCTCCAGCAGCAGCAGCAATGCCTTCCTGCTGCAGTGAACTCTGCTTTTGCTGCTGCACATTTTTTGTCTGCGCTCTCAACCTGAGCAGCAGCAGCAGCAGCAGCTGCTGCTGCTGCTGCTGCTGCTGGGCTCGCCGGCCTCTCCAGCCGTTGTACTAAGCATCAGCAGCAGCAGCAGCAGCAACATCCGGTGGATTTTTTTAAAAAGCAAAGCATGTGTTGAAGGGAGCTAGCTATCCACTGCACTTGCTGCAGCAGCAACAGCAGCAGCAGCTAAAGCTGCAGCAGCAACAGAAAAAACTACAGCCAGGGCCCCCTAAAGTTCAGTTTTAAATCCTTAGCAGCAATAAGTGCTGCTTCAAAGACTTGAGGCATTCAGCAGCAACGCATACACGCGCTGCAGCTGCTCTTCGTGAGCAGCAGCAGCAGCAGCTGCTGCTGCTACTGCTGCTGCTGCTGCTGCTGCTGCTGCTGCCCATAATTAGGAGAAGAGGTATACTGCTTTGTCCAGCCCCACAGCAGCTAGCATGCGCAAGTTGCTGTGGCAGGCGAGGCCTTTGATTTGCTGCAGGGGCCCTCGCAGCACTGCAGCAGCAGCAGATGCAGTTACCACAGCAGGCTCTCTTGCTGCTGCTGCTGCTGCTTCTGCTGCTGCTGCTTCGGGCAGCGTATAAGCTATGATTTCAGCTCCGCCAACCTGAACAGCAACAAAGAAACACCCCGCACATGTAACTTACTAGCTAGCTAGATAGCTAGCTAGCTAGCTAGCTAGCTAGCTAGCTACATAGCTATCCAAAAAAGAACAAACATAAAAATGTATTTAATATAAGAGCATTAGAATTGATTCAGATGCATATGAATGCACATGCATGCTCTATTTCCGAGTCCATACACCTCAGTGAGGTGTACGTACACCTCAAGCGCATGCATCTCTTCACCAGATATCCATTTACGACACTTCACTGCAGCAAATGCCCTTTTTCAACATTAAACCGCAGCAAATATATATTTCCGACACAACTGAATGCTTTAAATGGATCAAAATACATTATAACCCTCAAACGCATGCATGCATGCATGCATGCATGCATGCATGCATGCATGCATGCATGCAAAATATTGCTGTTTTGCATGCAGAAGCCGCAGCAGTTCTCTCGCACTTGCACAGAACAAATATAAGAAGGCTTTGGACACATTTGCATTTAAAAAAGTATTTTTAATTGATTTAAATTTGCAAAAAGTATAAAAGAATTATTTTTCAAATAAAGTATTTTATTTATTTCTCAAATTGCATTTATTTTTCCCACCCGCTGAGTCGACACATAAAGGTAACGGCCTTCGGGGCTGAGGGCCATCGCAGGCGTTGAGTAGAAGTCCACGTCCGGCACATGCAGCCGCAGCACCTGCAGCAGCAGCAGCAGCAGCAGCAGCAGCAGCAGCAGCAAAGCAGCAGCAGCGCAGGTAACACGCAAGACGCCGCAGCAGGCAGCAGCAGCAACCCCAGCAGCAGCTGCAGCAGACTAAACGGGACTCTGAATGGCTGCAGCAGCCGCAGCAGCTCCTAGGCAAGACAGCTTCGCCAGAAACAGCAGCAGCAGCAACAGCAGCAGCAGCAGCAGCAGCAGCAGCAAATGTACTTGTCTCTGGGTCTTTACGGAGAATATTATTACTATGCCAGTGCTGAGGCAGGCGCAGAGCCAGCCCTTTCGTCTTTCGCAGACCATGCGCAGCACGGAGACCCCACACTTCTGCTGCTGCTGCTGCTGCTGCAGCTGCTGCTGCAGCAGCTGGTGCTGCTTCTGCTGCTGCTGCTGCGCGTAGCAGCCCAAATCGTCTATGAAAAAAACCTCAGCAGCTCGCTGCAGCTCCACGACATCGAAGGCAGCAATTACAGAGGACTCGTGCAGCGCAATGGCAACTTTGCTGCTGCTGCACCTGCTGCTGCTGCTGCTGCTGCTGCTGCTGCTGCTGCTGCTGCTGCTGCTGCTGCTGGGGAAGAAGCAAAGACAGCTGCAAACGCTGTTCGGGAGATTGTAATGGAAGACAAGTTCAAAGGAGTCTGGGGAGTCTTGCTGCTGTAGGTACACCTGAAATAAGCAGAGGGAAAAAATCCACGACGCTGCTGCTGCTGCTGCTGCTGCACTTGCTGCTGCTGCTGTACTTGCTGCTGCTGCTGCACTTGCTGCTGCTGCTGCACTAGCTGCTGCTGTTCCACTAGCTGCTGGTGTTGCACTAGCTGTTGCTGCTGCACTAGCTGCTGTTGTTGCAGTAGCTGCTGCTCCTGTGCTTGCTGCTGCACCAGCTGCTGCTGCTGCTGCTGCTGCTGCTGCTGCTGCTGCGCTGGCAGCTAAACCCTAAACCCTAAACACTCACTGCAACAGATCCATCTCTGGAGACACTTGCGAGTCTGTCTCCTTCAAAGGAAAACTCGCAGCCAACAATGGCTTTGCTGTGGGGTTTCAGCTGCTGCAGCACGCGGCCTGCTGCTGCTGCTGCTGCTGCTGCTGCTGCTGCTGCTGCTGCTGCTGGGGCCTCCGTGACCTGAAGAGACAACAGCCCTCATAGGCAAAGCTCACTGCTCGCTCGCAACCAACTAGGGTTTAGGGTTTAGGGTTTAGGGTTTAGGGTTTGCTGCTTACCGGCTGCAGAAGGCAGAGTCCCCCATCAAGCATGCCTGCAGCTAAGATGGGCAGCCCGCTGCTGCTGCTGCTGCTGCTGCTGTTGCTGCTGCTGCTGCTGTTGCTGCTGCTGCTGCGGACAGCCACAGCTATAACCGGAGACGACAGGCCCTTCCATTCGCACACCACTTCACAGGATACCACCTTACTACTGCTGCTGCTGCTGCTGCTGCTGCTGCTGCTGCTGCTGCTGCTGCTGCTGCTGTTGCTGCTGCTGCGTTTGTGGAGGCAGGACTTGGAAGCCGTTGATAGGCGGCAGCAACTCATACGCTCCCATCAAATCCGGAATCGAAGAAGCTGCTGCTGCTTTTGCTGCAGCAGCAGCAGCAGCAACTTTGCTGTTCTTGCTGCTGCTGCTGCGCAGGGCGTTGGCTTGCTGCTCGAGGGCTCTCATTGCTGCTGTGAGAACTGGCTCCCCCTGCAGCAGCTGCTGCAGGAGTTCTTCCTCGTCGTCTTCTGCTGCTGCTGCTGCTGCTGCTGCTGCTGCTGCTTGCTGCTGCTGCTGCTGCTGCGGCAGCCAGGTGTCTGCGAACTGAAAGAAATGGGGAATGCAGGAGACTCCTGACTCTGTCTCCAGTGCTGCAGCAGCAGCAGCAAACCCCGAGTGCTGCAGGTACTGCAGCACGGCCTGCAGGTTGCGGTGGTGTTCGTCGAGTCGCGGGCCCATCATGGTCTCTGCTGCTGCTGCTGCTGCTGCTGCTGCTGCTGGTGCTGCTGCTGCTGCTTCCCTGCTGCCCACCAGCGAAGATAGCACTGAAAAAGGAAAGCTGCAGCAGCTGCTGCTGCTGCTGCTGCTGCCTTGCAGCTTCTTCTCCCCTGTGCAGCACGGCAAGCCGGCAGGCACGAAGCCCTCCATTAGCTGCTGCTGCTGCTGCTGCTGCTGCCGCTGCTGCTGCAGTGGTTGCTGCGAAGAGAGAAACGCAGCTGCAGCAGAACAATCCTGCTGCTGTTGTTTCTCAGAGTTAAAAACCTGCAGAGCTCTTAGCGCTGCTGCTGCTGCTGCTGCTGCTGCTGCTGCTCAGGTTGCTGCTGGCGGCGCTGCAGCAGCTGTGACTGTAGTGTATGTACACCTGGCTGGACCAACGAAATGTGAGAAGAAAAGAAAAGTAAAAAGAGACAATTAATGAAGCAGCAGCAAGAAATATATTTTGAGACAGCAGCAGCAGCAGCAGCAGAGTTGGCAGCAGTCGGCATCGATGAGGCAGCCGCAAAGTCGCCGCTGCTGCAGCAGCAGCAGCTGCTGCTGCCGCTGCTGCTGCTGCTGCTGCTGCTGGGCCCCATGTGACGCTGAGCAGCAGGCGATCTATAGCGGAAGAGCGTTCGAGCTGCTGCAGCAGCAAAGAGACACAAATTTAACTAATTAAAAAGGAAAGGAGACACAAAAGCTGCAGAGCCGCAGTAGCTGCTGAACTGCAGCAGCAGCAGCAGCAGCAGCAGCAGCGGGAGAAGCAGTCTAGATCCTGTTCTGCTGCAGCGACAGGGGCAGCTGCTGCTCTGTGGGGTGCCTGCAGCAGCAGCAAGCCCTGCTGCTACTGCTTTCTGCAGCAGCAGACTCATCGATGCTGCTGCGGGCCGCCGCAGCAGCAGCACGAGCAGCAGCAATGCCCGTTGCTGCTGCTGCTGCAGCAACGGCGACTGCTGCTGCTGCAGCAACTTCAAGTCCTCCTGCAGCCCAGCCCCTCTTCTCCAGGTCCATTAGTGCAGCAGCAACAATTGCGTGTGGCCTGACTCGGCAGCAGGCAGCAGCAGCAGCAGCAGCTGCTGCTGCTGCAGCTCCAGCTGCTGCTGCTGCTGCAGCAGGGTCCTTCGCTGCTGCGAGGGCACCATTCTACTGCGCCAACAGCAGCAGCAAAAGCACCGTCGATCCCAGCTGCTGCACCAGTAATGATTGCAGCAGCACCAGCAGCAGTACCAGCAGCAGCAGCAGCAGCAGCAGGTGCAGCAGCAGCAGCAGCAGCAGCGGTCCCAATGGCTGGGCGCCGCACAAGCTGTGGCGCCAGCGCATCGAAGCCAACAGGTGCAGCAGCAGCAGCAGCAGCAACAGCAGCAGCAGCAGCAGCAGCAGCGCTTTGCGCAGTTTCCCGTCTACGCCGTTCTTTCTTCGTCCATTTTGCCTGCAGCAGCAGCGGCTGCTGCTGCAGCAGCAGCAGCAGCAGCAGCAGCAGCGAGCAGCCTCCTTTGCGTCAGACCCCTTCTCTAAGCCCTCTTTTTCAGTGGTGGATTTCAGCAAGCCTTTTGCTGCTGCTGCTGCTGCAGCGCCGCAGCAGCAGCAGCAGCCAGCGTCAGCAGCAGCAGGATCGCCGGGAGCAGTGCAGCAGGAAGAGCTGCAGCAGCTGCAGCAGGCGCAGCAGCTGCGGCCAAATGATATGGCGCTGCTGCAGCGGCTAGCAGCAGCACTAATTTCAGCAGGAAGGGCCTCAGAAGCAGTGTCGTTAGTTGCTGCTGCTGCTGCTGCTGCTGCTCCTGTGCCGGACCACCTCGTGCTGCAGTGTCTCCAGGCAGCAGCAGCAGCAGACGCAGGCAGCAGCCGCAGCAGCAATGCGGACCTGCACCAGCTGCTGCAGCTGCTGCTGCAGCAGCGCAAGCCAGGGAACGATGACAACATTGTGGCAGCAGCAGCAGCAGCTGCTGCTGCTGCTGTTACAGCAGCAGCAAGAGTGTCTCCTGCTGCGCAGAGCGCCGCAGCGGCGGGGGCAGCGCAGCAGCAGCAGCAGCAGCAGCAGCAGCAGCAGCAGAAGCAGCAAGGATCCTACCGTTTTCTGCAGGGCGTCTGGGGCCTGCTGAAGGGTTTCATGTAAACCCCAAACCCTAAACCCTAGCTGGACTAGCTGCAGCGCAGGCGCAGGGGCCAGGGCCTAGGGTTTAGGGTTTAGGGTTTAGGGTTTAGGGTTTGTGCTGCTGCCTGCAGCCACGGCTGCTACCGGCTGCTGCTGTCTCCCTTCGTGGCTGTGCTGCTGCTGGTTGGCTGCTTGTCCGAGCTGCTGCGGCTTGCTGCTGCTGCACTGAAGGGCGAGGGTTTAGGAGCAGCAGCAGGCAGCAGCAAATGGATTGAGGACAGAATTGTGTCTCCCGAAGACATCAAGGACTCCTTCGACAGCGTCAAGGTCCCAAACCACAAATTAGGGTTTAGGGTTTAGGGTTTAGGGTTTAGGGTTCTCGCGCCGGGGTTTAGGGCCTGGCGCCTGCGAAGGCTCCGAAGGGCTGCACTGCTTGGCTGCAGCGCTGAGACCCTTCGTAGCTAGGGTTTAGGGTTTAGGGTTTAGGGTTTAGGGTTTAGGGTTTAGGGTTTAGGGTTTAGGGTTTGCGGAGCGCAGGGCTACGAAGAAGTGAAGAAAGAAGTGCGGGAGATAATTGAGTATTTGAAAAACCCTGAAAAGTTTCAGGCGATTGGCGCGAAGCTGCCAAAAGGCATTTTGCTGCACGGACCGCCAGGTGAGGGTTTAGGGTTTAGGGTTTAGGGTTTAGGGTTTAGGGTTTAGGGTTTGGGGTTTGCGCGGGGCCTGGGGTTTGCGAAATTGCAGCCATTGTTGCATTTGGGGCTGCGCAGCTCAGCAGCCCCCGTAGGGCTTTATGCATTGGGTTAAGTGGGCCCTAGGGTTTGGGGTTTAGGGTTTAGGGTTTAGGGTTTAGGGTTTAGGGTTTAGGGTTTGGGGTTTGTGATTAGGGACTGGCAAGACGCTGCTGGCTCGCGCAATAGCTGGAGAAGCTGGCGTCCCCTTTTTGCATGCATCAGGATCCGACTTTGAAGAGATGTTTGTGGGAGTTGGTAAGCTGCTGCTGCTGCTGCTGCTGCTGCTGCTGCTGCTGCTGCTGCTGCTGCAGTGCGTTGGTCTGTGTTGCCGCAGCAGCAGCTGCAGCAGCAGCTGCAAGCACGCTGCTTGCCGCGTACCTGCACACTCCCCGCGCGCCGGCTTTGCTGCTGCTGCTGCTGCTGCTGCTGCTGCTGCTGCTGCTGCTGCTGCTGCTGCAGGGGCGAGCCGCATCCGGAGTCTCTTTGCAGCAGCACGGGCGAAGGGCCGCTGTCTCCTTTTCATAGACGAAGTCGATGCTGTTGCTGGCAGCAGAAGAGTCGACACAAACGGCAACTTCCGCCAAACCCTCAACCAGCTGCTCGCGGAGCTCGACGGCTTCAAACCCGTCAGCTGCTGCTGCTGCTGCTGCTGCTGCTGCTGCTGCTGCTGCTGCTGCTGCTGCTGCTGCTGCTGC